ATAGCAGTTCTTGCACAAAAGAGAGCATGTAATATTGTTCTCTCACTTAAGTCAAAGGAAATTTCACAGCCAGCACTGATGGTAGTGTTTGAAGCCAGCTTTAAATTTATGACATTTTGGCAAGTGGAACAATGTGATATTTGCTGTTCTAGAAATACATACAGATGGATGTCACCAAAACCACCAATATTTTCCCAAGTCAGAGTCACTTTTAACGCTCGGTGTGAGACTGTCCTTGTCATTTTCATCTTTCAGTCAAAGCTTTCACCCTCACTGAACCAAGTTATGAGTGTCAGAGTTAAGGAGGAAAAAAAGAAACTTCATAAAATATTTGCAAGCAATGTGGAGCAATAGCAGCCTGAATTCTGATAAATAAATTATAGTTTTCTTTAAAAATGAATTATTCCCAGGGGAAACATTGACAAAAGGAATGCTTCCATATCTGGTGGGACCAGGGAATCATAATATACTGAGGGCCTAAAACAGAAATTGGCTTCAAAGCCACCACAGGAAGAATTTAGAAATACTGTGGGGAAAATGTAGCCATGTCTCAGCAGTCTCAAACAGAAACTCCATTTTTTCCAAAGTAACTGTTTATTATTAGAAAATAAGATGTAAAATTAGAGAAATATATAAAGTAAAACCTATTCTGACATTATAAGCAACTTAGTGGTTTGGGGTTATTTTACCATGGCCATTTTTATCTCCTTTGCTCTATGGTATTTTCCTTTTATCTTCATGCACAGCCATTGAAAAGGCATCAAAGGCCAAACCTGAGGTCCAGTGGGGCTTGTTGAGAGGCAGAATGAGATAGAAGTAAATGCCCATACCATCTCTCTTTTTCCTACCCTGGGGACTTATCTGGTTGTATGTCATCCCAGAAACATTTTTTGTTCTCCCAGGATGGGCTGTGGCAGTGAAAATAGACACACGTGTGGGCCAGAGCTCTGCAGCATTTTTACATTTTAGCAGATGTGTGAGAAATAAGGTTCAGTTTTCTTCCTCAGCTCATTTTCCTCCTGATGATGCCACTGAAGGAATTCAGATTCTCTAGAAGGTTTTGGGTAAAGGTTAACAGGTAAAATACAATGCATGGGGCAAAACTTTATTTCCAATAAATAACTGACCACTGCTGCTTGATATAAATATGACCTAAATGTTGTATGGGGGATTTTGATCTTAAACATCTTTTATTACTTGTATGAAATTCAAATTTGAGCTTATATTATTCTGTAGCTCCTTCCACCTTCCACATGGTTATTCCTTCTGAGCTAGAGGCATTTCAGTGTTGGGCTGGATCTTTGTCGCAGAGTTTGGTCAGGAGTGTACAATGTAGTGAGTGTAAACATGGCCTTGTAGGGATATGGGAAATGATACTTATGGGTACTGGAGGATGACCATTGCCTACTGATTTTGACATTGGTTTGTGCTTGACATTGAAAATTGAACTTGGATTTTGTGACAGAAACTAACTGAATTTCTAATGTTTATTATCAAAAATAAGGTAACACAAACTCAAATGCTTATTTAAATACTTGAATTACCTCACCTCAAGTAGCAGTTTTGGTTAAAGAGTTTGAGTTGTTTGTGGTGGCTAGTGGGTAGAATATGATGTGCAAAGTGCAGACATGGAAGCTTTATATCTCTGTCTTTAATTTCACATCCAAGAAGCGTGGCTAGTTAACCCAACACTGTGCTGGTGAGTAGAAAATGAACTGATCTGGGTGGAAAATTCCTACTATACCTTTAAACTTTTTCCGTATCTTTGAATAATTTCATACAATGAAATATGATCCTATGTACCAGTTTCCTCCCTTTAACTCACTCACCCCATAACTCCCAAACATGCCCCACACCCTTCCAACGTCATGCTCTGCCTTTTAAATAAATAACCCACTAAGTCAATTTAATGCTGCTCATATGTTCATGGATGTGGGTCCATCCAATAGAGCATGTAAAACTTGCCAGAGGTCACATCCTAAAAAAAAAGAAGAAGAACGAAAAGCAAAGGAAAAAGAAAAAAAGGATTCTCCTCCCCCTAGAAACCATCCACTGCCTATAGTTCTTCAGTAAAGGGTGGGGCCTGGAGATCACCTACCAATCCATGCTGGGATTTTGACTAGTTTAATCTTGTGCTGGCCTGGTGCAGGTAACCACAGCTACAGTAAATTCATGATTAACGTAGTCATGCCATATTCAGAAGAAAGCTTTTTCAAAGCATTCCTCTCCATCCTTTACATCTTTCCTTCTTTCCACCTTCACTTTTGTGATGCCCCTTGAACTTAGGAAGCATGTGTTGAGGGGACAGGTAAAGTCGAACCCACTTCGGGCTGAACATTCAGGGTCTTATTCTTAGCACTGGGATCAGTTGCGCATCTCTCTGTTTACTGGTGTCCATTGCAAAAGAAGCAATAGAAGACATGTGCAGCCCATGTCTATGGATGTAAATATAAATATTTAGAAGGCATGTAGAAAGCATGGTGATTTTGCAAAATAGCAGTAGTAAATCCTACCCTAGGGCCTGTGATCTCTCCAACTATAGACTTTTGAGCATAATTATAGTACCAGGAATGAAACTCTGTCATGTAAGCAGGCCTCAAATCTAATCAGAAAGCAATTAGTTACCCACATCCATCATGCCACTGTACTAGTAGGTATATCACACCTGGCGGAGCAGTACTGCAGCACCCAGGGCTTTGTACTAGATAAGACCATTGATACTTTTTCTCTCCCAGCAGCCTGCATAGCCCCTTCTGCTATTATGAAAGTCATTAAGCAGGGAAGAAGTTTCCTGGTCAGTTTGAGATTGATTTCTTACATCCTGTAGCCAAAATGTGTGCTGTCTTTAGCAATAGGATTTTGCCACGTATTTATGGTGCTTTTTTGATCCTTAGTAATGGAAACCCTGATGTTATATATCAAAACAGGTCAGGCACACACACATGAAATGGAATGTCTGAATTTCCCCTCTCTCAATCCTGTAATACCTCAGATTGATTGACTTCTTGCCTTTTATAACCTTGGAAACATCATAACATTGTTGAACCCTGACAGTCTTGTTTGAGTGGACTGCTTGGGGGTTGTCATGGCTCAGAAGCTGTTGGGGTATAGTGGTTTGGGGAAATGGCATTTTGATAGCTATTTGTTAGAGCTCAAAGAAGATTCTTAACTATGTTAACTGCCATTTATTGCTTTGAGTACATAAGAAAAGCTTATTGTATTTGTGCAAGGCTTTTTTTTTCTGTTGTTGTGTGTGCTTGAATGGCCCAATAATTTATCATATTCTCACTCAATTTCCACAGGTTTGTCACATGGGGTGGGTCAGGAGACAGAGGCAGAAACTGGTCCGTGATAAATGTCCTTAACGTAAAATTTTTAGATCAACAATGGGCAATGCAGGACAATAAGATTTAGGATTGGCTAGTTGGAATATTTCCAGTGAGTTCTAGAGCACAGAAACTACCCTTCATTGTCTGGTAGCTGGCCATGGAGTCATTAGGGTACATGGATGGTGACTAGGCATTGTAGAGCCTTAAAGGAAACGGTTGAGGTGTGAACTCTGGTCATGTTGTTTGGCATCGGTTAAGTTCATTCACAGGTCAGTTGCTTTATAATCACATGGAATAGGTTAACAAAATTTCAAGAGTTCACACCATCATATTAGATGTGATAAAAGACTTGATTAACAGGTGGAAAAACTGTGACTTTTAAGGCCATAGTTAAATAGTCAAACTTACTAGATAAAAAGAATACAGGAGCCGGGCGGTGGTGGCGCACGCCTTTAATCCCAGCACTGGGGAGGCAGAGCCAGGTGGATCTCTGTGAGTTTGAGGCCAGCCTGGTCTACAGAGTGAGATCCAGGAAAGGCACAAAGCTACACAGAGAAACCCTGTCTCGAAAAACCAAAAAAAAAAAAAAAAAAAAAAAAAATACAGGAAACATCTGAAGGGAAAATGGAAAAATACAACCGTCTTTGATTTGTTTTGAAATAATCTAACAGAACTAAGGAGCAGATATGAAAAATATGTTTCTTTCATTCACCTAGTAGAAATATCTGCCATTAATGGTTGTTCATTTCAAATTTCATTTCCTCAGTCTTCAGGTGGGAATAGCAATAATCCCCACACAGATGATGAATGGGAGAGGACTGAATTGTGATTACAATGAACAGTTTTAGTGAGTGATCTTCAATGATGTGTGGTTTCTTGGTGTCTGCTGTGCCCATGTCTGTTCATAAACTGATGTGAATAGAAAATGTTTGTTTAGCAATCATCAAACTCAGAAACCTTCTGTGATTGGGACCATTGTGAAAACTTTGTAATGTGCACTAATTTTCATCAAGGGCTTCTTCCTATGTCCTCTCGACTCTACTTTTATTTTAGCCAGGAAGTTCAGCCAATTTACTTATGATACTAAGTGGTGATTTCATACCCTGTGAACTTCTCTCTTAAAGCTTGTGTCCATTCATTTTCTTTCTTTTTTTTTTTTTGACAATTTTATAGACACATGCAATGGGTTGTAATTATATTCACTCCCGGTTATCCTCTGGTATCTCCTTTGAATTGCTTCCTCTTCCTGCTGGTCCCGTAGTGGCTATACCATTAGAGAAAATGATAACCATTCTTCCAGCAACCACTAAATCACAAGCTCCCCAGAAAAGGATGGAACCTCACAGGCTTCTTCTCTAACCATGGTGGACAGTTGAAAGAACTATCATGTCATGGTTCTGCTGAGGCAGAATATCATGCAGAAAAGGCCCCTATTTCATAAAAGAGAAATGCCCCTCTAGGGAGAATAACAGGAACCACCATGAATGGGGGGGAAATAAGAGCACATTTCTTGAGGATCAGCAGGGGGCACTAAGACTCCATAGAAAAAATAGTATCCCTACAACATTTACAAATCAATTTTCGTTTACTTTAACTCCAAAAATTGATAACACCACAAACTCTGTTTTTATCTTCATTATAGCTGATAGTATATCAGTTCTTTTCAACTCTCAAAATGTAGCCTGTTAAAGAAATTTTTTTTTTAAATCTGTCAATTTAACAAACTTCCCGTCTCCCGATCTGACTATGTGGCTGCTTCTCATTCTGCATTCAAATGCAATGCTGTTTCCTCCCTTTGACAAACATTGAGTAATTAGGATTTTTCACAGACAAGCGATTACCTAATAAATGACCTTCTGTGGGCAGCTCTGTTAAAATGGAGCAAAGAGGATGTTTACTACAAGCAGTGGCCAGGAAGGAAGTTACAGGAACATGACAAGCATTGCATAAGGAACAGCTTCTTCAGCTCTAAGAAGAACCTAATGACGGGGTTTACTAAATTAGTAGATTTGTCTTAAAAATAATTATAAGCCCGACAGGACACCAGAGTGTAAGTTGCAAGTTATGATTGGCTATTGCAATGCTTCATTAATTCATGGGAGTGCAAGGATAAAGTAATAATGCTCATAGTAACGTAATGTAAAAGCCAGGAAAAGATGAAGCACAGTGACCAATTTTCACATTCCTTGTCTCTTCCAGGTTGAGTTAAAGGGTGAGGAATAAAAGCCTGGATGGTAAGTGGGATACCTTCAAAGTATGTTTTTGTGCAGATAACCGTCTGTAAACCAAATTGCTAGTGGTTCTCGAATGGAACAGTGGATAGAGCTGTATAGTTTTGTCTGCTCTCTTTTTTCTTATTTATGCACTACATTAAAATAATGACTTAAACACTTTAAAAGATCTTTTTCTTTGATTGTTGTTCCACACGTTAGAGGCCATGAGTTTGTGGGTGAGCAAAGGGGGGTGGGGGAGAGAAGGAGTTGGAGGTCGGGGGGAAGGGAAACTGGAAGATGATGCAATTATATTTCATTTTGAAGAAAACAATAAATAACAAACAAACAAACAAACAGATAAGTAAATAAAACATACAAAAAATTAGGCTTTGCTTTGGTTCTTCCATGCCATCGTTTAGGTAGCCTGTACATTCTTGGTCAATGATAGACTATAGAACCTTTGTCCTGGGAAGAGAATGTCAGCAATTGCAGCCAGCCTCCCCATTCCGCACATGACAAAATGGTAGGTATTGAAGGGCCACTAGCAGGTTTTTGATGTCATGGTCACTGCATTTGCAGTGGTGTTATGTTTCCAGGTTCCATGATGGGCTACCACTCCCCACCTCCTCCTTTTCTATGCATTTTATTAAGTTTTTAAATTGACAAAAATCACCACATACTATATCATGCTTTGAAATACAGCATATAATGTGGGCTGTGATTACATTCATTAGCTCACATGCTTAATGTTTTGTACAGTTAGACTCTTAAAATCTATCAGTGATTTTCAGGAGGTAAAATCTCTTGGTAGATCTCTTGAATTTATTCCTGTTGTCTGATACTTTGTATCCTTCCACCAGTAACCTGTCATCGCCATTCTGGTACTTCCGTGAGTCTCTGGAAGACTCCGCAAGAGGGAAATTTGGCAATGTTTACTTTTGTGTGCTGGCTTGTTCCAGCTCTGAAATGTCTTCCACGTACATCTACATTGTCATGTATGACAGGGATTTCTCAGACTGACTAGCATTCCATTATGTATATATTCCATATTTCCTTTATCCATTCGTTTGTTGATGGGTACTTTAGTTGATTTCATATTTTGGCTATCGTCAACAGTACTGCAATAAACATGGGCATGCAGGTTGAACATTTCCTTTCCATTTGATATACATGCCATAGTGGCATTACTATTTTACTTATTCTTTTAAATTAGAGAGCCTCACATTTTTTTCTCATAAATACTATACTAATTTTCATTTCCACCAACACTGTGCATATTTCTTTCTCTTCACTCTCTCTTCTTATTTCTCCTTCAATACTAGCCACATTAATAAGAATTAAATATTCACCATAGTTTTCATTGTATTTCTCTGGGAAGGGATGTCAAACAATTTTAAGAATGCTTATCATCAAGAGTTACTATTCTTTTTGCATGGGTGTGGAGGGCAGAGGACGACTTCAGGTCCATTCTGTCTTTCTATCCTGTGCCTTCTGGGGATTGAACTCAGACTGTCAGACTTGGTGGCAAGCGCCTTTATTTGCTGACCCATCTCTTCAGCTCATGTCGAACATTGTTCCACATAATTATTGGCCATTTTTTATACCTTGTTTTAAGTAGTGTCTACTTAGGCAATTTACTCACTTTAAAAATTTTAATTAAAATATAACTACATAATTCCTCCATTTCCCTCTCTTCCTTTTAACCCATCCCATAAATCCACCCTTACTTCTCTCAAAGTCATGGCTTCTTTTCCTTTGATGATTATCGTTACATACGCATACATAAATGTATAAATATATTAACACAACTATGGAGTCCATTTAGTGTTGCTTGTACGAACATGATTTTGGGGTTGACCCCTTGGTATCGTTTAGCTAATTAGAGTGCTCATATCTGGGTAAGATTAATTCTTTCTCTCTCTGCAGGCATTAGTTGCCTGTAGCTCTTCATCTGGGGTGGGGACCTGGGAGATCTCACTCTTCCACATTAGTATATCTATTGTTGCTGTCATTGTTCAGGTCTTGTTTGGGCAGCCATATAGTTGAGGCATTGTGAGTGTAGCTTCCCTCTGATTCACAGGAGACATGATCTCACAGAAGATTTCCTGGACCTCTGGCTCTTATAGAATTTCCATCCATTTTTCCATCATGTTCCCTGAGCCTTAGGAGCAGGAGTTGTGTTTGTTACAGATGCTATCCACTGGAGCTGGACATTCACGATCACTTGTTCTCTGTGTTTTGATCAGTTGTGGTTTTCTGTGACAGTCTCCATCTGCTGCACAACGAAGCTTCCTTGATGAGGGGTGTACTTCTCTGTGTTGTAAGTGCTGTAATCTGGGGGTGTGGGGTCAAGTATTTAGAATGCAGTGAGAAGTTATCTTCTTCCAACTCCTGTCTGCCTGACTCCTCAAGTTCATGTCCTCCTATTCCCTTTCTCTTAGTCTAAATAATTTGTGTATGTTTTATCCTTTAGAAAAATAGTACTTAGATCCTTGATGATTGCTGCTATTTTCTAGTCTCTCATTTATTTCTGCTCTCATCTTGGGAGGCCATTGTTTAATTTCCAGCTCTTTGTGATTTTCTAGAATTTTCTAGAATTCCTCTTGTCATCATTTTCATTTCATGTACCTGTGTGATTAGAAAGAATACTTGATATATATATATATCTATATATATATATATCTTTTCTTGTTCATGATCAGTTCTGCTGTTGGTTTTCTATTTCAATTCTTAGTTTGAATTATTTTTTTCTTTCAGAGTTTCTATTACAAATATTACGTGTGTGTATATGTGTACATATATTCAATATCTGTGTTAATTTCCCCCTTATTTATTTTTCCCACTGGCTCATGCATGTCTAGTATGTACCCTGCCACTACAATATACTCACAGTGTAATCTTAATACTTTCTGTTTTCCTAAAGTTCCCATGAGTCTTTAAACTAGTTACATTGAATTCTTTGCTAGGTAGCACACATTTGTATTTTTTTGAGATCAGCTATTGGAAGATTATGGCATACTTTCTGTGCTGTTATGGCTCCTCCATTTTTTTTTTTCTATTTTTGTTGCATACTAATGTGTATGTATTTGATGAATGTCTTAGTTAGGGTTTCTATTATGGTGAAGAGACACCATGACCACGGCAACTCTTATAAAGAAAAACATTTCATTGGGGGCTAACTTACAGTTTCAGAGGTTCAGTCCACTATCATCATTGCAGGACATGGCAGAACATAGGTAGATATGGTGCTGGAGAAGGAGCTGAGAGTTCTACCTCTTGAGCCAGAGGCAACAGGAAGTGAACTAACTGTGTTACACACTGGATCTCAAAAGACCGCCCCCCTACAGTGACACCCTTTCTCCAACAAGGTCACACCTCCTCCAACAAAGCCACACCTCCTAATAATGGCACTCCCTCTGGGGGGGGCATTCTATTTCACACCACACCACACAGGGAAGTAGGGATTTGTGTCATTCTTTGCAGACTGGCTTTGGCTGGGAAATTCCATGTCCAGAGATTTAAAGGAGGCCATGAGCGGATTTGCAGGCGTTCTAGAAGTAGGTTGGCCTGGTACCTGGGTCAGCAGTTTGACAGTCCCTGACACCTCATCTTTAGGGTTGTGTCTGATATGTGTATCTATTCATCTGGACCTGTCAGTTTGATTTGTAGGGTTGATCCTGGAGTCTGTATCTTTAGGGGACACTCTGAAACCCGTGTTCATAGGCTTTAGTTTGTAACTGTCATAGGGACAGAACCTGAATCTTTAGGGATGGTCCTGGTGTCAGAGTCAGGGGTTGAAATGTAACTAGGCCTTACTGGGCTGGGCCTGGACCCTAGGTCTACCAAAGCAGTTTCAATTCTGAATACTTTGGATTCAGGGACAATGGAGCCTAGACTGGAGCATGGGGGCCACTGGTCTGATAGCTAGATTTAGGTTCTGGCCTGGAGACTGGGTTCATGAATGCTGTTCATGGCTTAGGTATGCTCCCTTTTCATTTGACATATAACCTTAATTACTCAGTTATATATATATATATACCTTATTTTAAATGGACTTGTTACCAAATTAATAAAAAGGAAAACAGGACAATATGTCCTATGTGCATTTGATAAATGTCCATAGAGCTTATAAGAAACAGATATTTTAGTCTAATTCATAAGAATGATTTCAGTCCAGCTGTATAACCTAGATATCTTATATGATGGCTGAAAAATCTCAGATGAAGGCAGACATAGATTTGGTACCTAGGGATAAGATGTTTCCCAATCTGTAGTTTGTGACTTGTTGTGTTCTCTCATAGTGGGAAAGGCAAACACACTCTCATGGGATTCCTTGATAAGGGTGCTAACTCCATTCATGGGGGTTCCGTCCCCTGTAATTGTCCTCAAGCCACCACCTCCTGATGGCATCACCTTGGAGATATATTCAGTTTTAAGAGATAAAAACATTCAGATAAGAGATGGTTAAGAAGTGGCCCAAAGAAATGAACACAACAGTTAATTGCTTTTTTTTTTCTGTTGATTTTTCAATAAGAACAACATTGCTACCTGTTAGGATACCTGTTAATAGCACAGCTAGGGAGGAGTATGTCTGCTCAATACAGAAAGCACATTACTTTCCCAACAGTAAGTTTGAGTTGTGTGTCTTCTTTGTATTTAGCTGACAGAGGCAATCCAGTTTATCCCCACTGCCTTCCCCTCAATGTAATTAAATCAGCTTTATTATGCTGAGTCTGTGGTGACTCAGTGTGACTGTGTTAGCCGCCAGTGGAAACGGTTTGTTCACCACATTTCATGCTGATTCTCTTTCTATTAACAAAAATGGAATTTTCAGGCCTCATTACAAGATTAAATTTCTGATAGAATTAAAGATTGTTGATCCTTTCTCAACAATTTTCCTTTTGGGAAGTAGCACCCCCGAAATGAGCTTTCCAAAGCACCATTTCTCCAGGGATGATTTTCATTCTGCTTAGAGGGAAGAAGCTTCACTGTGTATCAGTGACCTTGACCGAGGAGATAAA